TAGCACTTCCTGCGGTTGCAGGGAAAAGTGCCAGGGGTGGTGGGGCTAGTGGAGAGTGTGGAGCGGATGAAGGAGACACGGAAAGACCGGTCCCTCTGGAAGGCAGATAAGGGTGGAGAGGGAAAAATGTCCTTGGTGGTGGGGTCAGATTGCAGGTGGCGGAAGTGGCGGAGGATGATGCATTGAATCCGGAGGTTGGTGGGGTGGTACGTGAGGTCAAGGGGGATTCTGTCTTTGTTGTTATTGCGGGAAGGGGGTGTGAGGGATGAGTTGCGGGAAACACAAGCGATGTGGTCGAGGGCGTTTTCGACCACTGTGGAGGGGAACTTGTGGTCTTTGAAAAACGAGGACATCTGGGACGTCCGGGAGTGGAATGCCTCATCTCGGGAGCAAATGTGGTGGAAGCGAAGGAATTGGGAATGGGGGATGGCATTCTTGCAGGAACGTGGGTGAGAGGAGGTATATTCTAGGTAGTTGTGGGAGTCGGTAGGCTTGAAATAGATATCAGTTTCCAGGTGGTTGCCAGAGATGGAAACAGAGAGATCCAGGAAGAAGAGGGAGGTATCAGAGATGGTCCAGGTGAACTTAAGGTTGGGGTGGAAGGTGTTAGTAAAGTGGATGAACTGTTCGAGCTCCTCATGGGAGCACGAGGCGGCGCCGATACAGTCATCGATATAACTGAGGAAGAGGTGGAGGATAGGGCCAGTGTTGCTGTGGAACAGGGACTGTTGCTGTGGAACAGGGACTGTTCCACGTATCCTACAAAGAATCAGGCATAGCTTGGGCCCATGCGGGTATCCATGGCCACCCCCTTTGTCTGTAGGAAGTGGGAGGAATTGAAAGAGAAGTTGTTAAGGGTGAGGACAAGTTCAGCTAAGCGGATAAGGGTGTCAGTGGAGGGGGACCGGTCGGGCCTGCGGGAGAGGAAGAAGCAGAGGGCCTTTAGGCCATCTGCATGGGGAATGCAAGTATATAGGGACTGGATGTCCATGGTGAAGATGAGATGTTGAGGACCAGAGAATCGGAAGTTTTGGAGGAGGTGGAGGGCGTGGGTGGTATCACGGACATAGGTGGGGAGTTCCTGGACCGGGGGGGAGAAAATGGAGTCGAGATAAGTGGAGATAAGTTCGGTGGGGCAGGAGCAGGCAGAGACAATGGGTCGACCAGGGCAGTCGGGTTTGTGGATTTTGGGAAGGAATGATGGCAATTTCCTTCCCTAACAGACATTGGTGAACCAGATTTTTTTAAAACACAATTTACATTGGTTCCATAGTCACCGTTAAATTCTTAATTCAAAATGTTTTGCTTTGAAATTAAATTCCCCCACCTGCCACGGAGGGATTCAAATGCATGTCCCCAGAACGCTAGTCTACATTTTGGGGCTTCAGCAGACACTCCTCAGTCCCAGCCTACATTTACACAGAGAGCTACAAGAAATACACTTAGTCTTGAATATAAACTGTTATAGTATGGAATTTATTGGAATTGGAGACATTACAGCATCTAAATTTGGTTGTCCTTAGCAACAAAAATTCTGTCCTAAAAGAACATAAGAACATAAGAACTAGGAGCAGGAGTAGGCCGTTTGGCCCTTCGAGCCTGCTCCGCCATTCAATAAGATCATGGCTGATCCTTTCGTGGACTCAGATCCACTTACCCGCGTAAGACTGCATGTATTGTCCTTGCAACATTCCTATGATGAACATTATGAGCTGTCTGGAGGTAGACTGGAAGACAAGAGGGCTGATAAAGTTCTGGCAGAAGACAATGACAGAGAAGCCTCACATGTTCCCACTGCCATGGAATATTAGCAAAAACAGGTGCGGTAGCAGTTCAGCCATCCATCAACCAAAAAGGGGAAGCCAATTAAGGTGCATTTAATAGCCATTTTACAAGCCCACTGGATTCTACAGTCCTCAGAACAGTCCCCATTAAGGAAACTTTACAGGAGCTTTCCTGGAGAGGTGAGGGTGGGGTGTATGGCAGTCCTATTCCAAAGTTTCATGGTCTAAGGAGGGGTCTCCAGTAGCAATAGAGTGAAGGATTCACTGAGGAAGGGTCACCGGACCCGAAACGTTAACTCTGTTTTCTCCTCCACAGATGCTGCCAGACCTGCTGAGCTTTTCCAGCAACTTTATTTTTGTTCATGAAGGATTCACTACTCTGATCACCAGGGCCTGCCTGCCCGAGTCTGATGCATATCTGCTTTTCTTATGCTAGTCCTTCAAGGGGCCTAAAGGCACTTTGTCTTTCTCCCTCAAGCCTTAACAATGGCTACCTCTATCAGTGATATACCGATCCTCTAATAGGGCTAGAAATTCAGAGGTAACCCAGCAGCAGCCTCTTAATTGAATGTCATAATTAAAATTCCCTCCATGGCCCTGCTATGTCCAACATGAGCTTGGGGCCTATACTTGATCCCAGCTGGAATGGTGTTTGAATAAAAAATGAAATCATTTGGAAACAAATCTGATTATGTATGTGTGCAGGAAAAATATAAACAAATTCATGGAAAGTGTATGGAGAGTAGGTCATTCCAATTGGAGCTAGGAGATGCACTTTTGAAATTGACCAAATTGCCTCTTCATTTTTTTCAATGAAATAGAAATTGACTTTTCCTTTGTACTACTTCTAAAACCTATGAGACTCTCTTGTGTCAGGGTGATTGGGAACATCCAGGCATAGAGTTGCAATGTCATTGTAAAGTGTCAGCATGATCTCAATTTAAATTTACCTGATCTTGCAACACAAATCATCATCCCATTGGATTTAGTTATCACTGTCTCACTGTGTTTCATCTTGACAAATGGCAAATCAAGTGACACCCCTAGGTCTGCTTTAAAATTTCTCTTGGCAAGATCTATGTTCTATGTTCTATGTTCTATTCCCTTCTTCATGTGACTAAACATTTATATTATTTTTATTCTGCATTGAATTTCTTCTGTTTTCCCGTCTTGGATTCCATTTGTCAATGTGCAGCTCTGTTTTGCCAATGCTAGGTCCTGATATGGGTTGGGACTATGTCACTATCATGGTTAGGCAATGTTAATGTTAATAAGCTGGGAGGTGAACTGTTAGGAGAAGGCAGACACACTTCAGTGTTATTTGGACAAGTTGAGTGTGGGGACAAATGCACATCATATACAGTATAATGTGAGGTTATCCACATAGTAACAAAAACAGGAAGTCAGATTATTATCTGAATGAAAACCGAAAGAACTGCGGATACTGTAAATAAGGAACAAAAACGAACTGGACCCAAAACATTAACTCTGATTTTTCTCCACAGATGCTGCCAAACCTACTGAGCTTTTTCAGCAACTTCTGTTTTTATTATTGAGTGATATAACGAGAGAAGGGAATGTGCAATGAGACCTGCGTACCCTTGTCGACCGATCACTTAAGGGAAACATGCAAGTGCAGCAAGTGGGAAAGATAGCAAATGGTAATGCTGTCCTTCCAAGCAAGAAAATCTGAGAACTGGAGCAGGGATGTTTTGCTGCACTTATATAGGGTCATAGTGAGTGGAATAGTGTGTAAACCTTTGGTCTCCTTATCTGAGGAAGGATGTTTACTAAGCGCAGAAAAGGTTTACCAGACTGATTCCTGGGATGGTTGGACTGATGTATGGTTGAATCAATGAGGATTACATATGCTGGAGTTCAGACAAATGAGGAGGGATCTCACAGAAACCTACACAATTCTAAAGAGATGAGGCAGGGTTGATGCATTTAGGATGTTCCCAAAGGTGGGGGAGTCCAACCAGGGGTCGGTCTAAGGATATTGGGTAGAACATTTACAACTGAGATGAGGCTAAATTTCTTCACCTAGAGAGTGGTGAGCCTGTGGAATTCATTACCATAAAGCAGTAGAGGCCAAAAATTTCAAGAAGAATTTGAATATAACATTTAAGGGTTAAAGAATCAAAAGATATAGGGGAATAGTGGGAACGGGCTATTGGGCTGGATGATCAGCCTTGATCATAATGAATGGTGAAGCAGGCTTAAAGGGCAGAATGGCTGATTCCTGCACCTATTTTTTATGTTGGTATATTTGAGGCATATCATAGCCACAGTTGCACATATTGTACATTTCAAGTGCTTTGGTTCTGTTCAGTGCTGGGGCAGAGAGGAATCTGAAAACAAAATCAATCCCTTTTAATGCTAAACTTCTTACCATCAGTTTGTGAAAGAGGAGAAATCAATCTTATCTTTAGATTTATTCACAAAATGAAACATTACAAATATATACCTTCTAACTTTCAAACACATGCCAATGTTAAAAGCCAATTAAATGTTCAATTGAAATGATTTACTTAAGAATCGTCCCTTAAAAGGGCATTTTCATGAAAAAAATCTTACACAAAATTCTTAAAATATAATTCCCAGGGCTGATGATGCACCCTTTCCCCACTTCATGCCCACTGGTTGCAGAAGACTTCAAGTATACCAGTGATTGCCCTGGGCTCCTTGCCCAAGGAAACACGGGCATAAGCGTAACCACAGAAGAGAGACAGGCCTTTAGTAAGAAGACCTCCTCAATGGCACACTGCCTGGATCTGCTAATATCTACCTTGGCTAGTTCGGAAGAGACCCATAAGTAAGTTTCCTGTATTCCTTTATATTACTTTTGACTAAATGAGAAACAAATTAACAATTTGAAAGGCCTTTAAAAGGGTATTTTAATAGAAAAAAACCCTGAAACTTTGAAGGTAAAGTTACAACTAAAATACCAGCCCCTGCATTACCCTCTAGTAACAGATAAACACTTGGACATTGGGTTAGATTACTCATAGTATTTTCATAAATGACCCTTCACAATCTGCGGAAACAGGAATCAGCCATACCATAAATATAAGCCGGGTTTCAATTCAGATCCCCCAGATGAGAAGTCAATCTTTAATTGATTGCAATATCCCATTGTCTTATGTATTACTTTAAAAGGAAACTTTAATTGTGAAACCTCAAGTATGAAAACTTAGTAGGTTTGTGACTTCCTACCTTGGGGAGCTCCTCTATTTGATTAGCATCTAAGTAGAGCTCTTCCAAAGATCGTTCAAAATTGAAAATCTCCTTTGGTACATGTTGAAGGCTGCAGTGGGAATAATCCAAAACAGAGATGACCTCTTCTTCACCCCGGAAACATCGGCAGGGCACCAGGCGGCCAATAAGTTTTCTCTTTGTTGTCATCTCCAGACACTGCACTGCAATGACACAAAAATAGACACTACTGAATGGATTAAAAAATGAGTACGATTAAAATATTAACGCATTTCTGACACAAAGTCTAAGTGCTAGTACTAAGACCTTTCCTTCCATTATTTTCCAGCCTTTCTTGAAGGTAGTGGAAAGTCTAGGAGGCAATTGTCATGTTATTACCTTCAGCTGGTACTGTTCTAATAGAACATTATTCGTATGATGATAAAGAATGATTGGTGGCACGCTACGCAATCACTGCCACACCATTTCCTAAACTTGGCTAATGTATGGACTAATGAAGAGGAAAAGTATGAAAGCTCATGATTGTAAATAGTCAAAGCTTTGAATCCAATATAATACATATGTAATCTTGATTTTTAACTTTTCTTTAAACTCGAAATACATATTGTTTTAAATAAACATTAGCTGGATGATGTGGTTCCACATTATTACTAATCTTTGTGAGAACAAATGTTTCCTAACATCAATTCTAGCTCTAATTTCAAAGTTGTGGGCCTGGATTTCCCAATCAGAAGGCAATATTTTATTCTAGTTTCTCACCAGTGCCTATAACAATTGAAAATTGTATAAATGAGGTAAGATTACCTAATAATGATACAATCCATAGGAATCGGATGTTTGCCAGTTAGCAACAAGATTCTCATCTAAACATTGGAACCTTAAGAGGAAAACTGGGCTTTATTTTTCTTGATGTTGAGAATCAGATATTTTGCATTCTCACTGTATTTTCCAAAATTTCTCACTATTGCCCATGTCACTCAATTTCTGGGAATACTCCACCCACTGAGTACTATAGAAAGTTATTTTTGAGATTAAATTAGGTTGGAGAAGGAGATTAAGAACAGATTAAGTTATCATAGTATGGTCACTGTTACATAGAAGTCCATTTACTCTGAAGGTATTAATTATTCCCACCATATTACACAACATCAAGTCTAATTTGGCCTGCTATCTGTTCAGTTCAAGAGTGTGTTCTAATAAACTAGCTCAAAAACCTTCTTTGAACTCCTTTGCAAAGTTACTATTACCAGTCTGATTCTTTTCATTTGATCCGTAGATCAAAGTCACACATGATTATTTCTGCTCCCTTATCTCAAATACCCTCATTTTTTCTTGTATAGTTCATGACAGTCATTGTTCAGGGGCCTGCAGACAACCCCTACCAGTGACTTCATTCCTCTATTAATCTTTATCTCCACCCAAATCAATTCTTCATTCTGATCTCCTGAATCAAGGTCATCCATATTGCACCCTTCCATCTTTACCTAGCTTCTTATTCCTCAAATGCAATATACCACGTTATATTCAGAACCCAAAAATTGTCATCATGCAGCCATACCCCATAATGCTTAGTAGATCATATCTATTCTCTTCATGCATACTTTGACGTCACTTACTTTGTTATGAACATGACACTCATTCAGATACAGAACCTTTTTGTTTTTTGTTATCCTTGTAGCAACTAATTTTGACTGGTGGTACAGTATTAGGTTTTATCTCTGTCCTTTCCTGACAGTCTCCAACCTTCATTTTATATAATATTATTTAGTTCTCCAGCCTCAGTTCACTCAACTTATTACATTTTACCCAGCTTGATCGTTCACACTCTCTTGTTTAGTTTAGAGCTCTATCTACTTCCCCAGTTATGCAGCTTGCAGGAATACAACTCCTAGCATAGTTCAGGTGCAAACCATCCCAATGATACACATCCTGTTTCTTCAATATTGATACCAATGGCCCTGAACCAGAACCCACTTCTCCCACATCAGTCTTTAAGCCAATCTTTCACTTTTTAATCTAATTAATCCCGTGCCAATTTGTATGTGGCTCATGTAGTAATTCAGAGATTATTACCATTGAGATTTTGCTTTTCAATTTAGTACCTTTTTACAAATGTTGTTGGTGCTGATATGGACCACAGCCACTGGATCCTTCCCTCCCCACTGCATGTTCTTCTCCAGCTCAGAATGGATACCCTGAACTCTTGCATAGGGGCAGAAATAAAATGTAGTGGACCCATACTTTTTGCTGCAGAGAACAGTATCAAAAGCCCTTAATATATCGTTCCCTATTATCACTACATTCCTCTTGCCCCCAACCCACATCTCTAAAATAGCTTCCTGTACCATTTTGCAATGGTGAGTGAGCTGATTAAACCTGCAACCCTTACTTTCATCCAAACAAGCTGAATAAATCTCAAACCCATTGGAGAATTTGTGAAGGTTGAAACTCCTGGGCCCCTGTCCTCTTGGACCCTTACAAGCCCCGAATGCAGTCACATCATCTTGTCCTTGGCCACTGACTAAGCTAGAGGCTTGTGACTGCCTCTTGGAATAAAATGTCCAGATAACTTTACCTTCACTGATGTGATGCAGTGTCTGCAGTTTGGTCAGTAATTCAATAATTTGGAGCCAAAGCTCCTGCTGTCTCAAGCACTTTTTTTTTATTGCAAATTTATACTTTATTCATTGAAGGAAATCTTTATGTACATACACAGTTAATGTAGCCATTCTGATCTATACTGTCATTATTTACAGAGAATAAAATAAACACTGGCATTCATCTTTCCCTATATTTACAATTAGCCTCTTGGCATTTAGCTGAGGCATCAGCAGGGTCCGGTTACTAAATGGACCCCCTGTTTTGCTTTGGCAGAAGGACCTTACATGGTAGTCTTTCCCCACTGTGCCTTGGCGGCAGCTGCCCCTTCATTTTATTGCATCCCTCAGCATGTAGTCCTGGACCTTGGAATGTTCCAGTTTGCAACACTCAGTCAGGGTCAACTTTTCAACTGGAAGACCAGCAAATTTTGGGCAGACCAAAGCGCGTCTTTCAGTGCATTGATGGTCCTCCAGGCACAGGTGATGTTGGTCTCGGTGTGCATCCCGGAAAACAGACCATAGGGCACTTGCCGCAGATATGTTTCACTAGAATTACACAAGCATCAAGAATCACCCACATTCTGCAATCACAGCACATAATCGATCTTCCATCTCTAATATGTGTTAATAAACTAATAATTGCTTAAATATAAATGTACCTGTAGTCTGCTTTGTGGAATACATGTCTCTTGTTTTTGCTGAATAAGATTGCAGCTGTGAATGTAATTCTAGTGGGTCAGGATTTTAGTGGGTATTCATGGCATGCTAATGAATGAAAAAGAGCTTCTGGTCCATCAAGGTTGGGAAAACAGACACAACTGAAATGCTCTGAGAATTTAATAGCAAAACCTTAACCTGCTGTTGAGAAAATGATTATGTGCCTCCTGCCAATGAAGTTTCCCCATGTTTTCTTTTAAGCTCTAGGCAAGATGAAAATTTTCTGGCTTTTGTTTTTGAGCAGAGAGAGGTGCTCACAGAAGATGCATTCTGGCTAATGTGCCCAGGCCCCGAGTTATTATTCTGTATGTTTATGGAATAGAAATTATGGGCTGGCAAAACTGTCTGTTCTTACTGTAAACTTTCCAAAATGTTTGTTTGTAAGAGGAAAAAAAATGTTATCATGCATATAGGAAATATCCACGGAAAACAACAATCTGCAAATAAGTAACTGCATTGCAAATCTGCACTTTTCCTTAACTTTTGAGGCCGTGAGAAATTTTGCAAGACTTCTTTTGATGTGAATGAATCAATAAATGGATGAATACAACAGCATTGTAAAAGGTTATATATCAACTAGGGAATGAATGAGCTTGCAGAATGATATTTCTTTTCTGAAGATTTTACCTTCTTTTAAACTCCGCATGACTCAGTTCTGTAGCAGTTTAAAATACTATACAGAGTTAACATGTCAGCATCTAAAATCCAGTAAATGGTATCTAAAGCTTTTATTCTCCAAACGATAAACCTTTTTTCAAAATGAAAGGTAGGATTTTCTGTTTTAATTTTGGACCCAAGTCCCAGTTGCTGAGAGAAGTCACTCAATATTGATTTAGCAAATGTCCTGAGTTCCTTCAGCATTCTATGTTTATTATTGATTTACTACCAATTGGCCAATAGGGGACTCTGAAGCTTGGAGGGACAATAGCTTGTCACTGTGGATAAGAAAGAGGGTGTCTCCATATTGAAACTTCCTCTCAGCTAATTGCAAGTGTTTTGAAAAAGAGTCTCAGCTGTCTGACCACTATTACTGGAGGGAAGGACCCCCTCATTGTAATGTGGCCTGCAACATAGGTGGTAGGAGGAAGGCCTCAAACTTTTCTGGAGCGCTGCTTCCGGGTTGACTGCTAGGTGTGTGCCTCCAGAAAACCTATGGTCCTAAAATTGCAGAGGGCATGCTGGCCGACTGAAAAATTTCGGAATCCTTTTGGTGAATGACCCTCATTAGCCTCAACTTTCTTAACTCACTCTGCCACTAGCAGGTAACTTGTGACACAACAGAAGCACATTGTCCTCCAAATCAGAAGGTTGAGTGTTCAAATCGCAGCAGGCTCATAAAGATTTATTGTGAATATAATTTTAATGGGATTTGTGGCACAGTGGTAGCGTCTCTAGCTCTGGGTCAGATAATCCAGGCTCAAGTCCCACCTGTTTAAGGGGTGTGTCATAACATATCTGAACAGACAGATTAAATTTTAAAAATCTGCCTCTTATGATCAAGTTGCCATTTTGTCACTAATCCATTCTTCCCCCAAAATTAGGCATGATGGTAGTGGCAGTGCCGGCCATGTTGAGAGAATACCGGCTCCATTCCTGCCTTCACAGACCCCTGAAAATCCTGGCTGACATTCTTCCATTACTAAATGTACAGTGGAACATAGAACATAGAACATAGAACATTACAGCGCAGTACAGGCCCTTCGGCCCTTGATGTTGCGCCGATCTGTGAAACCAATCTGAAGCCCATCTAACCTAAACTATTCCATTATCATCCATATGTTTATCCAATGACCATTTAAATGCCCTTAAAGTTGGCGAGTCTACTACTTTTGCAGGCAAGGCATTCCACGCCCTTACTACTCTCTGAGTAAA